CATGGGCCCAGGGATAATGCCAGTCCTGTACATGTATGACCGTGGTGGGGCTTCTCTGAAGAGGCCTCAAGTAGGGATGAGCTCAGATTTGGACTGGGTTCGGGGAAAACCTGAGCTCCTCTGAACCCGGGAGGAAGCTCCTTCTGGGGCTGCAGGTAAGCAGAGGAGCGGGATGCTGTGATGTCATTGACCTTATATGGCTATATATGGACAGTGACCTTATATGGTCGTATAAAGTCAATGATGTCAGCACAAGCATCCCGCCCCTTTGCCTATGTGCAGCTTCGGTGAATGCTCCGGCCTCGAGCTGATAGGGCAGGTGGCTCCATGTGTCTTCCAGGTTCAGAGGGTCTCAGGTTCAGACCAAACCCAATTCGCACCTGAGCTCAGCCATACTTTCAAAGTGTTCACTGAATGGACTCCGGATCAGTAAAACCTCCCATACCAACCCGTCTGTCTCTCCATTGGCTGGTTGTAAGATAAGAGCTTCAAAACTTCCACAGCCCCCAGATGAAGGTAATGAGCTGAGGGCTGGAAGTCCTTGAACGGATCCAGTAATGAGTTGAGGGCTGGAAATTGAACGGATCTATTAATGGGCTGAGGGCTGGGAATCATTGAACGGATCCAGTAATGAGCTGAGGGCTGGAGGTGATTGAACGGATCCAGTAATGAGCTGAGGGCTGGAAGTGATTGAACGGATCCAGTAATGAGCTGAGGGCTGAGAGTGATTGAACGGATCCAGTAATGAGCTGAGGGCTGGTAGTGATTGAACGGATCCAGTAATGAGCTGAGGGCTGATAGTGATTGAACGGATCCAGTAATGAGCTGAGGGCTGAGAATGATTGAACGGATCCAGTAATGAGCTGAGGGCTGATAGTGATTGAACGGATCCAGTAATGAGCTGAGGGCTGGGAATGATTGAACGGATCCAGTAATGAGCTGAGGGCTGGGAATGATTGAACGGATCCAGTAATGAGCTGAGGGCTGATAGTGATTGAACGGATCCAGTAATGAGCTGAGGGCTGGTAGTGATTGAACGGATCCAGTAATGAGCTGAGGGCTGATAGTGATTGAACGGATCCAGTAATGAGCTGAGGGCTGGGAATGATTGAACGGATCCAGTAATGAGCTGAGGGCTGGAAGTGATTGAACGGATCCAGTAATGAGCTGAGGGCTGATAGTGATTGAACGGATCCAGTAATGAGCTGAGGGCTGATAGTGATTGAACGGATCCAGTAATGAGCTGAGGGCTGATAGTGATTGAACGGATCCAGTAATGAGCTGAGGGCTGATAGTGATTGAACGGATCCAGTAATGAGCTGAGGGCTGATAGTGATTGAACGGATCCAGTAATGAGCTGAGGGCTGGGAATGATTGAACGGATCCATTGATAAGTACAGTGAGTTTGTCTCTCTCTGGGGCAGCATGACGCAGACACAGAACTGACCTCCATCCATCTTTTCAGCAGTGCCCACAATGGAACACGCCAGCCTGACCCAGAGAGTCCGATCCTAAAATCCGTCCCCAAAACTGATAATATTCCCGTCACATGTCCCGCCAGGTCCGCAGATCCAGTCATGTGATGTCCCCAAAGTCATGTGATAACAATGGCGTCCCGCAGCTGGGCTCCCCTACAAGTCCTGCTGTGTGTAGCGTGATACAATGTTTCATGTGTCAGTTTTCAGTGTCGCACAATGGAGCTTCTGGACATATATGTAACGTGTGTGAGGAAACACTTAAAGCCATCGCGTACTTCCCCGCAGCAACCAATCGGATGCCGTTGCCGGCGTCAGGCCTTTACAGTTCACTCTCCACCCCTTTTTTCTGATCACAGCCGGATACATTTGTGATTTCAGCGTCCTGTGATGAATCCTTTCCTTGCACACGTGGGGGGTTAAGGTTGGGCCCGGAAAGGGCGCGATGGGCGGAGACTTCATCCCACAGAAACAATGATTGGCCTCCCTCCATGATGGGCGGGGGCTGGGCAGCGACAACTTTTGTGTTTGTAACACAGCGTCAAAGGGCTATAACTATCCGAATCCCATACATAGAGATCGTCCTGCACCGTACGGGAATTTTTAGCATTCACGTTTTACGTTCAGATCCTGTTAAATATCACTTTTCCACTTTTGCTGTGCCATATTTCCATCAACAAATGTGTAGCTCCTCCCTCTGCCAGCCACCTGCCCCCAGTCAGTCGGCCTCCTTGAACCGGTGCTGAGATAAGACGTCAAGCCGAGAGTGCATTGCCTACAGACAGTCAGGCCAGACCCATAGACTTGCATTGAAGGGTCACTCTGCAGCTCTACTAAAGAAGGAGCAGAGCCTGGATATCTAATGAGCAAAGATGGCCGCCTCCTGCATACTGTATATAACAGGGGTAGCCAAACACTGGTCCTCCAGCTGTTGTGGAACTACAAATCCCATGAGGCATTGCAACGTTCTCACAGCCACAGACATGACTCCCGGAGAGAGATGCATCATGGGATTTGTAGTTTCACCCACAGCTGGAGGACCAATGTTTGGCAACCCCTGGTCTGTAAGCTACATACAGGAACGAGGAGAATAAACCATTCTCACACGTAGGGGTGTATTTATTAAGAATCTGCTCCTCAGTGCCATCTAGTGGTCACAATGTGGTACTTATAATCTGGATACACAAATAATAATTGTTTTGCCTCCATTCACACTGAGTGAATGTACATTAAGATTTCACAGGGTGAACGGCTCTGCGAATTGCTTATAAATACACCCCGTAGTTACTTTATTCCAATATATACATTAGTAACTCTTCAGGCGAACTCTGCGGCTGGGCTGCACAGCATCATTGGTTGCTAGGACGCTAGTGGCTGGGCTGCACAGCATCATTGGTTGCTAGGACGCTAGTGGCTGGGCTGCACAGCATCATTGGTTGCTAGGACGCTAGCTGCTGGGCTGCACAGCATCACGAAGGAATATCGCTACATTGTATCAGGACTTCGGGGGTTCCGGGTTCTGTTATAAAGTCAGATTCTGGGATGGAATGCTGCGACGGGTCCCCCGTGGGATGATCTCCGATCCTGAAGACTTATTGTGCAGAGTATCGAAGAGCCAAAGTGGCCGCCTTGTATCATCGGGGGTTTCATATCCCCGTCACCTTCACTGTACACTTCCAGCCATGTAATGGAATCTCATCCATCCGACCCCTGTACGAGGCCCTAGGGATCAGAATTGGGGTTCACTTATTGAACCAGAAAAGATATCTACTGAGCTGAGTCCATCAGCCAGGGGGCGTCCCTCCTCCATAAGTGCTCTGCTGGGTGCAGTGGTTCCACAGAAAGAGTTCTGCATAGACTTTAGCTGGTAGGACGCAAGTGGCTGGGTTGCACAGCATCATTGGTTGCTAGGACGCTAGTGGCTGGGCTGCACAGCATCATTGGTTGCTAGGACGCTAGTGGCTGGGTTGCACAGCATCATTGGTTGCTAGGATGCTAGCTGCTGGGCTGCACAGCATCATTGGTTGCTAGGATGCTAGCGGCTGAGTTGCACAGCATCATTGGTTGCTAGGACGCTAGTGGCTGGGTTGCACAGCATCATTGGTTGCTAGGAC